ACTCTTTGATAGCGGACGCTGCCCTGTGGGAGACACTGGAGCAACTCCCCTCCTCGACAGGAGGGGGTCCCTAGGCCTGGCCAGGCCTTGAGGGAGCCGCGCGGCGACACCCCGCTCCTGTCTGGGCCTCCGGAGGCCTGGCAACCTGGCCAGAGCCGTGACCTGGGAAGACGACAGGTGGCGCTCTCAAGTCCACTGCTGCACTGCAGGCTGCCTCCTCACGGGCGTCCGCAAGGCCGCGCCAACTCATCCAAGGACGCGGAGCACGCCGACCGTCTTCTGTAGCGCCTGGAGGGTGTTTTGGGCCTGGGCGTACTCCCACAGGGCCAGCTCGTCCTTCTTCCAAGCACCGTCCTCCACGAGAAGCTTGATCCTACGCTCGAGGTTGGACACGAGCTTCGTCAAGATGGGGTTCACGATGCCCTCCATCTCCTTCTTCTTGCCCTCGAGCACGCCCTTCCCCACGGGCTGGGCCTTGTCCAATCAGACGCGGGTGTGCTCGAAAGCCTTCAGGATCTTCTCCTTGTCACCGTCCTCGAAATTGTACTTGAACTTTCCTTCCAAGAGGGTGTTGCGCATGGTGGAGCAGCACTTGACGAGGCAGCGCACCGCCTCGGACCTCTCCTCGGACTGCTTCGCCAACGTATCGGCCTGCTTCTTCTCCACCGCGGCCATGTCCTCGGCGAGCAACAGCTTGCGCTCGGCCTCTGCCAGCTGCTCGCGCACGGTGGACAGCTCCTCGTTCCTCATGCCGAGAGCAGGCCGAGATCCTTCCTGGCCTCCTCTAGGGCGAGCTGGGTAGCCTCCAACTCGAGCAACTTCTCGGCCAGCAGCTCGCGCATGTCGTTCTTCGGCTCGAGCTTGAACTTGGCGCCAGCCTTCTCCTTGGCCTCATGCTGGGAGCCTCGAGGTGCGCCCGAACCTCCCTTCCGAGCCCCACGTCTGGATGGCCTCTCGCATTGCGCAGTTTGCTCAGTCTCTCGACGCGGGAGGCGAGCTTGGGTGCACCGGTTGCCCGCAGCACCTCCTTCGCGGATTGGACCGTGACTGGCGCCTCGAGCTGGTCTGCCTGGAGCACCCCATCGAGCACCTCCGCCAGCTGCGCGATCTCGCCCCCGCCTGTGTCACCGCCTGCCGCGCAAGCGCCCGCCCACTGCGCGGCGCCGCGCGCCGCGGCCGCGACCGCCGTAGCGAGAGCCTTCGTCCCCACCTGGCTCGCGAGCGCCGCCAGAGCCGCGCCGAACGCGGCCTGCGCCACGGGAAGCGACGCCAGCAGCTCGGGGGCCGCGGGCGACCCCATCGCGAGAAACCACCGCCCGCGAAGGGCGGCCAGCCGATGCCAAGAGCCAAATGGCTACGGCAGGAGGAGGAGGAGGAGGAGGAGGAGGAGGAGGAGGAGGAGGAGGAGGAGGACAAGGAGGAAGAGGAGGAGGAGGAGGAGGAGGAGGAGGAGGAGGAGGAGGAGACAAGCTAGGTGCGCTCGCGTCGTATCTGACATCCCACCCCTCCCTCCCATCGCTTACCATGGCGTAGATCCCCTCTCTACTCGCACAGTCGGATGTCGAGCAGGGCAATGATCGCGAAAGGGTACGCGATGCATTGTAGAGCACGGCATGGCATGGCGTAGAAGAGCACCGCAAAGCGTAGTACCAACCTAGCATTGCATTGCATGCCGTGGCATGGCACGGGAAATGACGCCAGCGCTGCAGCGGGAGCACGAGTCGAAACGAGCGGAAGCGCGGAAATGAGGCCAGCGCTGCAGCGGGAGCACGTTCGGAACGAGCGGGGCCCGAACATGAGGCCGGCGCCTCAGCGAGAGCAGCATTTTGAACAACAAAATGCAAGCGAAAACCCAACTCCCAGGAATCCTGTGTGTAAAAAAACAGTACGCGGGGGGGGTCGAACACTCCGAGCACGTCATCAGGGGAAGAGGGAGAGTAGTATTCATATTGAGTAAATGTGAGGAGGAGGAAGAGGAGGAGGAGGAGGAGGAGGGGAGGAGGAAGGGGAGGAGGAGGAGACGAGGAGGAGGAGGATGAGGAGGAGGAGGAAGAGGAGGAGGAGGAGGAGAGGAGAAGGAAAAGGAGGAGGAGGACGAGGAGGGAGGAGGAGCCGGAGTAGGAGGAGGGGGATGATGATGATGATGATGATGATGATGATGATGATGATGATGATGTGATGATGATGATGATGATGATGATGATGATGATGATGATGATGATGATGATGATGATGATGATGATGATGATGATGATGATGATGATGATGATGATGATGAGGAGGGAGGAGGAGGAGGAGGAGGAGGAGGAGAAGGAACAGAAGAAGGAGGAGGAGGAGAAGGAGGAGGAGGAGGAAGAGCGAGGACTCCCCCTCATCTTGTCGGCGGTCCCCCTCCAGCTGTGCCCCCTGGCGTGCCGCCGAGGTGCTGTCCCTGATCGCCGAGCGCCTGAGTGGGGTCCTCGACGGCCTGCCTCGGAGCCTGCTGGGGAGCACGCTGGAGGCGGGGCCCCTTCCTGCGCGTTCGGCGTCCACGCGCCCCGTGGTCGTCCTTATGCGTTCCCTCCCGCATCTCCTGCTCCACCTCTTCCCCTTCCTCTCTCCCTTGCCCCCCCTGTTCTCTCCGTCTTGCGTCTCCTCTCTCCGTCGCTGCTGCTGTTCCCAGTTCCTCTCGCTCTTCCCCTCGCTGCCCCTGCCCGTTCTCTTGCTGTTCCCCTTGCTCTTCATCCTGCTCTTTCTCTCCCGTTCCTCTTGCTCCTGCGCTTCCCCATCTTTTTGTTCTTGCTCCCCCTCTGTGGTCTTATGATTCGTTTTCTTTGCCTGGCTATCCTTACTGCTACCATGCTCTACTCCCTGGGTCTTCATCGTACTCCTTTGTCTGTGTGTTTTTTCGCAGCAGTCTCAAGCATGTTTGCAGCAAACCTCGCTGGCCGTTGCGGCTTCGCCTTCTTAGCAAAGCCAGAGGTACTACGCGGTGTTATGTGTCAACGTTTGTCGTCGGAGTTAAAAGCCAGTCTGTCGAATATGCTGCCCCTGTGCCTGGCTCGCATGCTGGATGTGGATTTCGGGGGGGTGGCTTACAGAACAAGCTCCAAAGTGCAACGAGCTGCTGATATCCTGCTAGGGACGTGTTCATGACCTGCATTCGTCCAACCTGGGTGCCGATCTTCTCCAATTGAAGCACGGGGAACTTCGTGGATCCTGACTCAGATTCCTTGGCCCTGTTGATAGAACGAACGAAGGAGTCGCGCCTAGACGGCGCATCGTCACACAGGAGTAGCACATGCGCATAGAACAGGAAGTGTTGCCGCAACGCCCCGGATTTCCCACGCGTGGTTCCAGGGATAACTGCGCAGCTACCATGGACATCCCGTTGCAATGGGGGGCCTGGGAGGAGTAGAGGAGGAGGAGCAAGAGGAAGAGGATGAGGAGATAATGCTCTGCCAAACTAATGTGCACAATACCGCTCAACAGCTCCATGTCACATTATCATATAATGCAAGAGTGCTTGTAATGCATCGGGGTCTTTCTTTGCCACCCCGAATTCTTCTGCGGGCATATATTGGTCCACTGCAGCTGAGGGCGCCCTCGAGACCTGACGACTTCAGTTTCTAAGTAGAACATCATGATCTTGACCACTCTCGAAAACCTAGGCCTGTGAGGCTGTCCCGGGCAAGTGTATTATAATATTTGTAGCTGCCGCTCACGTAAAATTATCGTCTATGGCCCAGTGTCTGCAAGTTCGCTAACTTCTGCGTTGCTCACACGGGACACGAGCGCCTGTAGAATCTTGAATACCTTGAAAGCCGTCGATCTTGTTTCTGTCGGCCTGCAAGAGCATACACGATTCCAACCCATGCAAGAGTTTGGGACAGACGCATGATTCCAGCATCCTCTGCTTATGTTTTTGTTGGTATTCGCGTGGCTCTAATGTCTCACCAACTTCTGAAATATCCCTTTGACTTCCCCCAGGCGCCACGTAAGTTCCTCGCGAGGCTTCCCATCGATACTGATGAGTCCACCCGGATCGACGGCACTATCCTTGCATGTAAGCGGTTGGCCGTCCGGCCCACATACATATGTATATATGTATGTAGGCAGGCAGGTAGGTAGATCGGTCGATAGGTAGATTTGTATGTGTATATGTATGTACGTATGTATGCATGTATGTGTTTATGTAAGTATATACATATATATGTATATACGGTTGTATGTATGTAGTGTATTTAATATAATGCAATGTAAGGTAATGCATTGTAAGGTATTGTAACGTAATGCAATGTAATGTAACGTAATATAGTTTAATGTAGGTAGGTATGTAGGTATGTATATATGCACGCATGCAGGTATGTGTGCATGCATGTATGTATGCATGCATGTATGTATGTATATAGGCATATGTATATGTAAATGTATATGTATATGTATACGTATATGCATATGTTTATGTTTATGTTTATGTTTATGATGCTAGTTATGTTTATGTTTATGTATGTATGTATGTATGTTTGTATGTTTGTGTTCATGTAGGTACACATACATGCATGCACGTATGAATTAATGCATGTACGTGCGTATGTATGTATGTACGCATGTATGTATGCATGTATGTATGTATGTTTGTGTAAATGTGTATTTATATACACAAGACTGCATTGGCGCTTCGCGCCATGCACCTTGGTCCTGGAAGTTTGGTGCGCAGGCTTAGTGACCGGACGGTCGAACAGACTATTTAGCGATAACTCCTTATTGTTTTTTCCGAGATCGCCGTTAAAATAATTCCCAACCATCTTGTGGTGTTGTGTCTTCGTTTTGAAGAGACAGCGAGCGCCCCGCGTCTCCCTCCCCCTCTCGCTGCCCACCCCCTCCCCCATTCACCATCATCATCATCATCATCATCATCATCATCATCATCATCATCATCATCATCATCATCGTCATCGTCATCGTCATCGTCATCATCATCATCATCATCGCCATCATCATCATCATCATCATCATCATCATCATCATCATCATCATCATCATCATTATCATCATCATCGTTATCGTCATCGTCATCGTCATCATCATCATCATCATCATCATCATCATCATCATCATCATCATCATCATCATCATCATCATCACCATCACCATCACCATCACCATCACCATCACCATCATCGTGGGCACCATCGCCATCAGCGGCGTCATCAACATCGCCATCGTCAGCGTCGTGCCTCTGTTCTCCGCGTGCCCACCAATTCGGCACACCCCTCGTACGTTTCGTGGCCCCATAGGGGAGCTCAATCAAAGGCCCCAGTGGGAAAGTTCGCACGGCGGCCCCGCCCCATTTCGGCACAGCCCTCACACGTTTCGGGGCCCCAACAGGGGGGCTCAATCTAAGGCCCCAGTGGGTGGGAAAGTTCGCATGGCGGCCCCGCCTCATTTCGGCACACCCCTCACACGTTTTCGTGGCCCCATAGGGAGCCCCACCTAAGGTCCCAACGGGAAAGTTCGCATGACGGCCCCGCCCCATTTCGGCGCACCCCTCACACGCTTCGTGGCCCCATAGGGAGCTCCATCGAAGGCCCCAATGGGAAAGTTCGCATGACGGCCCCGCCCCATTTCGGCACACCCCTCACACGGCTCGTGGCCCTATAGGGAGCTCCACCGAAGGCCCCAGAGGGAAAGTTCGCATGGTGGCCCCGCCCCATTTCGGCGCACCCCTGACGCGGCTCGTGGCCCCATGGGGAGCCCCACCGAAGGCCCCAGTGTCAAAGTTCGCATTACGGCCCCGCCCCATTTCGGCGAACCCCTCACACCTTTCGTGGCGCCATAGGGAGCTCCACCGAAGGTTCCAGTGGCAGGGTTCGCATGGCGCCACCGTCACATTTCGGCTCACCCTTCACACGTTTCGTGACCCCATGGGGAGCTCCACCGAAGGCCCCAGTGGCGAAGTTCGCATGGCGGCCCCGCCCTATGTCGGCACACCCCTCACACGTTTCGCTGCCTCATAAGGGGGCTCCACCGAAGGCCCCAGTGGCAAAGTTCGCATAGCGGCCCCGCTCCATTTCGGCGCACCCTCACACGCTTCGTGGCCCCATGGGGAGCCCCACCGAAGGCACCAGTGGCAAAGTTCGCATGGCGGCCCCGCCCCATGTCGGCGCACCCCTCACACGTTTCGTGGCCCCATAAGGGAGCCCCACCGAAGGCGCCGGTGGCAAAGTTCATATGACGGCCCCGCCCCATTTCGGCGCAACCCTCACACGGCGTGGCCCCGTAGGGAGCCCCACCGAAGGTCCAGTGGCAAAGTTCGCATGGCGGTCCCGCCCCATTTCGGCGCACCCCTCACACGTTTCGTGGCCCCGTAGGGAGCTCCATCGAAGGTCCCAGTGGCAGGGTTCGCATGGCGCCACCGCGCCCATTTCGGCTCACCCCTCAAACGTTTCGTGGCCCCATGGGGAGCTCCACCGAAGGCCCCAGTGGCAAAGTTCGCATGGCGGTCGCGCCCCATTTCGGCGCACCCCTCACACTCTTCGTGGCCCCGTAGGGAGCTCCATCGAAGGTCCCAGTGGCAGGGTTCGCATGGCGCCACCGCGCCCATTTCGGCACACCCCTCACACGTTTCGTGGCCCCATGGGGAGCTCCACCGAAGGCCCCAGTGACAAAGTTCGCATGGCGGCCCCGCCCCATTTCGGCACACCCCTCACACGGTTCGTGGCCCCGTAGGGGGTTCCATCGAAGTCCCCACTGGCAGGGTTCGCATGGCGCCATAGCACCCATTTCGGCACACCCCTCACGCGCTTTGTGGCCCCACAGGGAGCTCTACCGAAGGCGGGGCTCACAACTGCGGTACCCACACTTGCATATGGTTTGATTCCTTCGCCAGGATATTCTTTCCAACCATCCTGGATTGGGTCCTCGTTTTGATGAGACAGCGCCTCGCGTTCTCCTCCTTCTCCTCCTTCTCCTCCTCCTCCTTCCCCTCCTCCTCCTCCACCTCCTCCTCCTCCTCCTCCTCCTCCTCCTCCTCCTCCTCCTCCTCCTCCTCCTCCCTCCTCCTCCTCCCCCTCCTCCCTCCTCCCATGCGTGCCTCTGCCCTCCGCATGTCCATTTCGGCACCCTGCCCTCCGCATGCCCATATCGGCACCCCCCTCACACGGTCCGTGGCCCAATAGGGAGCTCCACCCAAGGCCCAAGTGGCCGCGTTCACATGCGTCCACCCCGCCCACCGCATGCCCATGTCGGCACAGCCCATGCACGGCTCGTGGCCCCATAGGGAGTTCCACCCAAGGCCCAAGTGGCCGCGTTCACATGCGTCCCCCCGCCCACCGCACGCCCATATCGGCACACCCCTCGCGCGCTTCGTGGCCCCATAGCGAGCACCACCGAAGGCTTCAGTGGCCGCGTTCACATGCGTCCCCCCGCCCTCCGCATGCCCACATCGGCCCCCCCTCACACGGTTCGTGGCCCCATAGGGAGCTCCAGCGAAGGCCCCAGTGGCCGCGTTCACATGTG